TGTGGAAGACTGAATGTTACTGGACATGGAGAAGAACGTGCGTCAGACACGAGAAGCGCGGACCAGAAGAACATTGCTTCCTCCGGTAAAAGCGGCGGCCTCAGTCGTTCTGCACTTTTGCCGGAAAGGGCGGATTAACCGTGTCGTTATCCTGGGATAACGGCAATGTAATGTCCAGGAAGCGCAATCTCGGGCTTAAGCGGATGTCGTGGGGGTAGTTACCATCGGCAAAAAGTTGCTAAAAGTTGTCAGCGTTATTTAGGAAATTACGGTCATCTAGTTTATAGTTTTGTACGATTAAATCTTTATTTTAATATATATATATATATATATATGACTGTGAAAAAAGTACGAGATAAAATTCGTTGATAGTACAAATTGCAGTTCACTACAAATTTTTAAAGACTCTTGAGAAATTAATTAACTGAAGAGCGCGTTTGAAACAACGTTTTAATGCTTGTTACGACGAGGATAATATCCGATATAAGCGCTGTTTGACGTTACTTCGAAATGTCACGTTGCTACGAGGCACCCGCGATTGCCAGCTCAAAGCTGCCGCGAAATTAACGATCGCGATCGAATGATATTTCGTGCACGCGAGAAAAATGTCAGGGGGCCATAAACGAGCCCGTAGTAATTGCCAAGGTTGTCGCGACTATCGTCGATTGATCAGCAAGTCTGGCGGCATCCGGTCCTTCGACATGATCACAAACGTACGGTCATTAGTAACGCGGACTCATTACGCTTACGAGCGCCAAACGATCGTCATTTCTTCCTTCTCGATGAAAAACGCATAATTGCGTGTCGACCGCGCCAGCCGTAAAAATACTACGTCATATCCACTGTAAAGATTTAAGATAAAAAAGATTTAAGCGAACGATCGCAAGAAGGGAGATAACTGGACGAATGAGAATTATTGCAACGCGTAATAAATCTGAAAGAATCATATCTTTTAAACGCCTGAAGATACCAAATTGCAAACTGCAAAAAGAGATGCTCGAGTAACTTCGTAATCATATACTCGTATTTCACGTGTTAATTATATCAACATGTGATAATTTCACATATATATTGATCTAGATTAATATTTTTTAATTTATTTTATCAATCGTTATGTAAAATTTTACGGCGACAATACGTGATATAATGCAACGCTATTAAAGCACCGACACTATTCTACGCCACTGGCGTAAAACGTGCACACTCGTTAGGAACGCGAGAGTTCGCATGAAGCTTATACATGCCGACACACGTGTGGTTTTCTATCGGTATATATACGATGTTTTAAGTTCAAGGCGACGAGGGACGCAGTATGAATATATACCCCGTACATCCGAGAATCTCGGAGACGCATGTGGTGAATTACATCATAATGCGAAGGAGGAGGAGGAGAAGAAGGATGAGGAGAAGAGGTCGATGCAACAACAACAATCCCGCGAAGAGATGACTCGCGGACCCTGGCTGTTGAGCCATGTGACTCCTGGAAGGAACCGGAACCTGCTTCGAATTTCAAAACGCGCGACACGAACGTGACGTACATGGAATTCCGGCGCAACGGTTTTTATCTGCTACAGCGAGGGCGCAATAATGATTCGAGGACTGAGAGTAACGGGTTCGTCTTATTGACCGGTGTAAAAAAGATCTTGTTTCACGTGGACTTGTTTGTATTTCAACACGGTAGCTGTTGTTTAAGTCGTTCGATTTTCACCTCCGTTGCGGAGAAGAACGTGCGTAGCTGTCTCTCGGATTATAAGTGGATATATTCAACATATTGCTCGACCATGACGTTACATTCTTTCCCATTTGATCTCTTTACATCTCGGTTATAAGATAAAAAAACATATTGGAAAATATCGGTAAATCTAAAATTTATGAAATTTATCATGCATCGTTTCGCGCGCTGACAGTAAAAAAAAAACCGTATACTTCACGATGTTCAATAATCTTGAATCTTGAAAAAATTTATTTTACGCGATCAACTTACGCGCTTCACATTTATAATTGGATGATTTTATAATTAGAGCTTAAATTACATTTTCTTCAACGATTTCTACGAACTTTTAGCAGACAATGATCCCCGCAGAGGAGACACTAGCCCGCTACAATGATATCGCGCGAGATATGGTGCATCCTCTCTCTCTCTCTCTCTCTCTCTCCTCTTCCGTCGGTGTATCTCTCGCGAGTATTGATATCATCGCCGTAACTCGGGTCGCTCCTCCTGGAATTCCAGATCGAGCGAGTTGAGAGCCGCTGGCCGATGGTACGAGCTAACGAACGACATCACTCGTCGGATATGGAGAACCCGAGGTTTCCTTCGAGATCGAAGGTCACACGATTCTCGCCCCGCGTCTCTACGCGATATACCTTTTTTTCCACCCACCCCTCGGTATACTCTTCTCCTTTTTTATCGGTCCCGAAATCTCCGCACGCCTCCGGGCTATTCTGCCTGCATACAAAGTCATCTTTGATGATCGCCACCACCCAGCACATTCTTCCGAAATATCGTGATATCTCGAGACTAGAAATCCGTCTCCGACTCGTTCGCTTTAGATGTCAGCGTTTTTATTCACGACTAATTGGAAATTAATCACCTTTATTCTCAGAATATTCAAAGCATTTAAAATGGAATGCAAAAATCCCAGATATTTAGAAAAAATATAAAAATGCATATATTACGACAAAAGTTCAAACCGAAAGAGCCATTGGATTCTAATATAAACTCCGATTCGATATCTAAATCTGTTCAGAACATACATTATATTTTTCTAATAACAGTAGACAATTTACCGATATAATAAAATATATACGATATAATAAAATATATACGTGCCGAAAAATATAAAGATTATAATAGTAAATTATATCGCAATCTCGGAAATCCGTGCGAATAATCTAAGCGTCATCATCCGTAACCTTAACCCCGCAATGCGTCCTTGTTCTTCGCTCGCCGGTTAACCGGTAGCCAGTGCTCGCAGCAGCCGATAGTTCCTGCAGAGCGGACCCTTTTAATACCTTGAATCGCGCCGAGGCTTTTCTCCGGCGCGGTGCATCGCCCGTTGTTACGCCGCGTCAAATACGAAACACAGGCGACCGCTACCATACCGGGCTGTGTGTACCAGGAGGCTCGAAGCTTCCAGGATAGTAAACAGGCGGCAAGAACCGGGGAAACCAGACATCGTAACATCGTGAGGCCTCTCTTCCACGACATCTCCGGCGTCTCCCTCTTCTTCCCGCCTGCTGACCCCCTAGACCTGCATTCTGGCGCACACGGTAGTGCGGCGATGCATCCGCAGCTGCACTGATATTAGCCCGTTCGGCGAGATTCTCTTATGCGACGAGTGTGAGGGACCGGGTATATAACGTAATGGCAGTCTATCGGGTACTCGATCAAGGAAAGCTCGAATGTTCCGCGGGGGAGGCAGAGGAGGGCTGGTTCGCATAAACGTGAGAGGTCACGTGAGGATCTCCGGGGGAGGGCACGAGGAACGGGAGGGTTTGCCGGTAAAAGGGTCGAATCGTGCCTTGGTAAGGCGGCTGTGTGTAATGTTCGTTTACTTTGACGAGCTAGGATGCCGGATTATCGGCTTTGTGGCGAGATCGATTTGCTCTTTGAAACCGAGCCTTTCCGCTCTGAGAAGCAGCTATGAATTTCCTAGACATTTTTGGGGATTTTATTGATTAAGTAAAATCAATATAACAGGAAATCATCTATTAAATATGATAAGGGAACGTAAAAAGAGAGCGAGAAGTAAAGAGAAGAAAGACAGAGAGAAAAGAATTTATTTTTATATATTTTTGATATATTTTTATAATTATTTTTATATAGCTTATTTAATTTTTGAAAATACTTTTCCATAAAAATAATTGCTTTATTTATTAGATATTTTACCGTTACGTTTTGGCACTTATTCTAAAATAATACCAAGCAACGAGGAAAAGCCGACCCGAGAGTTAATCACCTTACTCCACGAACTTTATATCGCACGCGTGAAATTCTTCATTTCCACTATCCACTCGTACGATCAATACGACGGTGTATAATTATCGTAATCACACTTTCGACGAAAAGGCAGTAATTATTGTGATTCAGTACACAAGCGACGAATTATATAGGCAGGGGCGTTAAGTTAAACGATCACGACACCTCGTCGGATGCGAATTATTCCGAGCCGAGATACAGTCCCGATACACGCACGTGCATCCACCGCACGTTTTCGGATCGCGGAAGGGAAATGCGATGCGATCGCGTGCGAGGGTTGTAACGGGATTTCGTTGAGACTGTGGCGGCCAGCCGGGGTGATCGATCGAGACTCGAACGGCAATCGACAACGAAAGACGCGAAAAAATGTCGTGGTGTCTCAAGCGGTATCGTTGCGTGTTCCGCAAAGGGATTACTGGTTGATAATAGCCGTGATTGGCAATCGAGATCGCGAATCATACAAAAAGGAATTGCATCTGTTAAATAAAAAATCTGTGACGCCAATTTTCTTCTGGTCTGTTTACTTACAAAATTTAATAATTCGGTTCTGAATATTTTCGATCTGGTTTTTAAAATATATAATATTGTAATTTTTAAAAAATTATTTAAAAAAATGTGTATATAAGAATAGTTATCATTTAAAAAAATGAAAGAACCTTATCATTTATAATATTTAGACAACTTGTCGTTCGGCATCTTTACAATTAAATGTCAATAAACCTTTGATAAAAATTTGCAAAGCTTCATCCTCAGCGTTTTCTCGAAAATTTTATCTTCAGTAATAATTGCCGGTATCAAAATAATGGGCGATCTAGAAATTCTTCCACGGCACATTTATAAGATCGACGTGCCAGCAGCACACGACCGTCCGCCCGCGCACAACGCGCGACTTGGTGTACGCGAGAGAGAACGGGTTATTAACTCGCGACCACGAATTTTCAAGCGGCTATAGTGGGGTGTCTACCTGCGGCGATAGCGATGGGCTTCGTGCACGCGCGCCGCGTCGACTCTCCAGTCCGCGAAGAGCGCTCCGACGCGAAGGACGTGGGAAAGATCGATTCGCCGGCGCGGCGCGGTCTCTCCATTTCATTTCTGCGACGATTGTTATAAAGACAACCGGGGAGCACGCAAAAACGGACCCCCGAAAAACCGGCTCCGAAAATCGCGCCGCTCAGACACAGACGCGCCGAAACTCGTCCTTGGAACGAGTCACGCGAAATGCCAACGAGAAGGAATCTATCTGTCACGTGCGGTTCCAACTATCGGAGCAATGTGAACGTATCATGAATCAGTGGTGATCCAGAGAGGATCGAGACTCTTAAATATAAACTGTAATCGTACGTCTGTGATGACCGATCGCGGCGACGAGTTTGAGTGGTCCAGTATCGATTAATCATGTCAAAATTCGCGATGAACGCTATTGATAAGGATCGCGAATAGCACACTCGAGACGACTCGGTCCCTCAACTACTCCACATTTTTCTGCTCTTAAAAGAATCGTCTGTGCCGATCAACCGATCGTCGTTGCGATCGGTCTCTCGTCACCCCTCGGATCGATGCAAATCTTCGTCGGGGGTCGTCGAACTCGATATTAACGACGACGAGGTGACCTTGAAAGTACGTCTGAAAATCGAGAGTTCTCGCGAAAACGCGCGCGCGCGCGCGCGACAAGGACGGTATGTGCCATTTTCGAGGACCGATGCAGGGAGGTGAACGATCCTCGGAGAGTTTCGCAGACCGGTAATGGGATATCAGAGGTGACGGCAAGATGAACGGTCACGGCTCCACCAATGAGGTATTTGCGTTGCATACGCGTTTCTTTCTCTCTTTCTGTCTTTGTATGTCTCGCCGCCGTAATGTAATATTTTTTTTTATCCCCTTTGCTATCCTTCTCTTACCGCGATATATGCTTTAGATATTTAAATCACGTCCGTTCCATTCTTGACTGACAATCTCGAATCGCGGATTAATCCCGCCTCGCTCAAGGTGATCCTCGGGCTCCAAAGAGAGAACATCCGTAGAGCTCGTAGATCCTCTTTGATGTTCGGATTCTCGGCGCGTCAGATTTGATGTTGATCCTTGTACTGATGTGCGATTACAGCTGATAAGCAATAGTGGTAATCGCGGCGTGCTGTAAAAAGAGAACTTTAGTAACATCACGTATTTGAAAATTATTCTGTAAGTAAACCCACGATATATAGATATAAAGTTATTACATACATCAAGGAAAAAAATGATTAAAAGAAATTAGAATAAAATGAGAAATATATTCTATTTATTTATATTATATTTATACTATTTGTCATTTGCATAAATCAACACTCTAAGGATGCAAAAATGAATTCATATATCTTATCCTGCATCTTAAAGTTTATTTAGATTAAAATTAATTAAATTAAATTGTTTATTAAAAGCATTATTACAAAAGTAGATTAAAAGTAGTTAAAAACCTGTTTTACTTTTATTGAATAATGTAAGGAACAGGGTTCTTTTTGAATAAATAATAAATTTACATTTAAATCAGCGAGGTAACGTTGCATCGCATCTTTTTCATATCTGTGACATGCAAATTCTTCTCGACATCGCCGTCGGATGTACAAGTGCTCCGACGGTGCAAATGTCTGTTATGTATCAAAATGGCGCTCCTTCTTCCCTCGATCTCTCTGTCTTCTGTCTTCTGCCGCTGCTGTCTTTCCCGCCGCTCTTTCCTTCCCCGTGTCGCCCGTCGCGATTTCTTCTTGTTGCGTTCTAAATTCGCCGCGCGTATGTATATAGCTCTAGAGCGAAGAAGAGAAATTCCTGACGCGTCTGCTCGGCGGTTGCCGGAATGTATTTGCGACGTTTACGCGGGCTGAAAAGGCCCCGTTTTTACTGCAACAATTGTTGCTCAACGATAGCTGAAGAGCTGCACAAACGGTGGAGTAGTTTAGGCTTAAATTGTCTCAAGAGCTGTCATATGTCAGTTGAGGGGTATCGCAATCTCACCTGGCGAAATAACGGCGCGAATTCCCATGTCAATAATCCTGAAACTATATCGAAAGTATCTAGATTCTAAATAAATCCAAGCAAATTAAATTATTTGAATGTATCGGGTGATAAGATCGTAAAATTGCAGAGTAATAAATGTTTGAAAGCTGTAAGAAACAGGCTCTTTATTTAGAATTCTTCTTTATTTAAAAGCTCTTCGATATATTTATATGATATATATTTTATGAATTTTAATAATAATTTTTTTTACATCCGTAATTTAATCAGTTACATAAATATATGTGTTATTTATTTGCCACAAACACAATTTTACTTTGTCATTGCAATGTTAAATTCCTTGATAATAGATACTTCCTGCAGCAAATGATTTTTATAATTATTCTTTATCGCATTATTTATAATTGATATAAATGTCAAGCACATAGTAAAATTTATCCGTTAGGCCGCTAAATTTAGCATACAGCATTTTGCAATCTAGCAGTACATAACCGACATTGTTCTGTTTTGCTTTTCTTTGATATCGGAACCAGATAATTTTCATGTGCCGAATACGCATTGTGCGCGATCCAAATTGTTCCTCGAATAAAGTGTTCCTGGCCAGCCACGAAGAGATAAAAGAGATGGACTTTTTCCTCGTATGTTTACGCAACGGTAAAATTGCAAAACGACATCGATTACCATATCGGTTATTTTCACTCACAAATAAATCGATAGCTCTGCTTCCGTTACTCACCGGATATCTCACGGGTCTTATCTTTTAGGCGACGAAGAAGACTATATTTGACTATCGCTGGAAACATATTGGTTTTTGATGGTTTGCTTTACGCCATGTTTTACGCCTTTGTCTAACGTTAAAACTTAAGTTTCTAGCGTAATTCTGGAATAAATTTTCAGTTCAAGTATTAATTTTTAGTAAAAATTAAATAAAAAGATCTTTAAATCTCTTTTTTTCTTTTCTTAGGAAAATAAATTTTAATAAATTTTTTTTAATTTTGTGTAATATTTCCTACAAATTTTATAATTGATATAAATGTCAAGCACATCGTAAAATTTATCCGTTAGGCCGCTAGATTTAGCATACAGCATTTTGCAATCTAGCAGTACATAACCGACATTATCACTCTTAGAGGAAAACATACAATCTTTTGATTTGCCTGTTTATCTTTTAAATTCACAAAGACGATAAATGAGGAATGATATACCATTGTCGTCTCCGAGAGAATGAAGCGAATAATCTTGATATTTTTGTACCGCAAAGTGTACATCGAATGAAAAATCTCGTGCGTGACTGCTATCGCATACATCACAAGCATTCATCTTACATTGTACGCCCTGCGAGACTATAGAATACATAACGTTGCAAGGCTGAGCGTAATTTTTATGCGGCGTCTCGCAATTCTAGGGAGGTCATGTTTGAATGGGAGACGGCAGGGGGATGCGATAAGGCCCATTCTCGATTAGATAACGGCCCGTGACAGGTACGGTACTGTTTGCGCGTCGAAGAAGTGCCGCTTTTGCACGCGACAGGCAACGCTGAGTTTTTCCTCGGCCTAACAGCGTTATATCCCGCGATTTTTAGCCGTGATCGGAAAACTGGAAATCAAAAAAAGGTATACGGGGCACACATACATATATATATATATATATATATATATATACACACACTCACACACACACACACACGAGAGAGTTCTGTTTTGCTTTTCTTTGATATCGGAACCAGATAATTTTCATGTGCCGAATACGCATTGTGCGCGATCCAAATTGTTCCTCGAATAAAGTGTTCCTGGCCAGCCACGAAGAGATAAAAGAGATGGACTTTTTTCTCGTATGTTTACGCAACGGTAAAATTGCAAAACGACATCGATTACCATATCGGTTATTTTCACTCACAAATAAATCGATAGCTCTGCTTCCGTTACTCACCGGATATCTCACGGGTCTTATCTTTTAGGCGACGAAGAAGACTATATTTGACTATCGCTGGAAACATATTGGTTTTTGATGGTTTGCTTTACGCCATGTTTTACGCCTTTGTCTAACGTTAAAACTTAAGTTTCTAGCGTAATTCTGGAATAAATTTTCAGTTCAAGTATTAATTTTTAGTAAAAATTAAATAAAAAGATCTTTAAATCTCTTTTTTTCTTTTCTTAGGAAAATAAATTTTAATAAATTTTTTTTAATTTTGTGTAATATTTCCTACAAATTTTTTGCAATTTTATTAGCATAAACTAATAGCACAACACAATGGGATTGAAAGCTTTAAAGTAGTGTTCTTCTTATTTCTATTGTAAACGGCAATTTGTTTCAATGAGTATTAAGTGATACTCGGCCTTGGACTATCAAGGATTGAACACGAAGATGCGTGTGAACATGTAACGAAGATTGACGTAAGTCCTTGAAGATCCGTCGCGCTTAATTTCTGAATGAAATGGGAGGACAAACATTAGTAAATTACGGGGATAAAGATTAATATGAGAAAAAATTGAGAACGTTTTAAGACGAGATAACAGAAGTAAAGTAACGCAAACTTTAAAAGAAAAACGTTTAAACACAAATTTAAAGTCTTAGTAACAAGAGAAGTAGAGAGAGGGGAGGTAGATCTCTTAATACTTAATTAAAAGATGCAAATTGTCTACAGGTGCGATCGTTACTACATGCCAGTAGTATGTCTTCATCGTGACTTAAATAGCGTGAAAATTCCTGGCACAGAGAAAACGTAAAAAAGAAAGTTATCTCTCAAGTTTCTCACCTTGTTAAACAAATTGTATGTAAGCCGCCGAAAAGAATCGTAGAAGTGCCAATAATTTTTCATCGGCAATATTCGACGAACGGACGAGACAGAAAAGGGTGTGTCGAGGATTATAGTGACAGGAACATCCACGGCGCTATAAATCTTGCAGTAATTGTGATCAATTAATTGGTATGCAAATAAGGTGAAGTGCAAATCACTGGGAATGGAGGCGGATCCATTCATATCGATTCTCGAGCTTTCTCCTTCGTCCGATGGACTTTATGTTCGGTCTTTCGTTTCTCTTCAATTGACCGCGGTGACAGCGTTACGCGCATTTTTTTTTTTTTTTTTTTTTTTTTTTTTAAAGTCTCAAGAACGCGCGGCATTGCGAGACTCATCAAGGTCGACCCCCAAAAATTCACAAACGCGCCGAAATAATCTTTCTGAGAATTTCGTCGCGCATACGCGTGCATCTCGAATAGAGGCACGTGCATGTGGATCAAGTGTTCGCAATGATACCCGAACAATATATGAGACTGTTGCGATATTTTTAAGTTTACGGATGATATACATCAATAAAAGAAGTCATTACTTAAAACGAGCTGGAGCTGTAGTTCAAATAATGTCCATTATTAGCGATTCTTTTAAATATATGCTTAATAATTTTATATCATTTTATAGTCTTTTATATTATTTTACAATTTTTTATGCTGCAACACTTATGATATGCGATACATTATAAAATTAAATATGATCTTATTCAATTATATAATCAAACTCAAGGCGGTCAGTAAGTTAAGGGATTAGAGTTTTAAGTGAGTAATTTTTATATTAGCCTTTTCTAAGATTAAAATATATTCATGTTTTATTAATATATACACGTATCAAAATTAATTACATTTTGCAAATGTGTATCGCGGAATTAATTATAACAAGATGGTTTGCGAGGGAATAAAGAGCAGCTGTGATTACAACACACGTAATATATATACTGCATTCACATCATCGCGATGTCATTGTTGTTTACGTCAACGAAGAAATGGAATATTGAATGAAGCCAAGCGTGTCCGGCA